CCTTCCCAAGCTTCCTATTCCCCCTCTGATATCTGATTTATTCTAGTGATAGGATTACCTCTTTAGTGATGTTGCCGTGTATCAAACATTCAACATGTAAGTGTTTTAATAGAGATGGGATGAAACTACAAAGCTTTTCTATAGTAACCTCTGAAAGAAATAATCAATAATAACACATATAACACATACAACTTAATAAATTCTTCGCAGTTCTGTTCGATAAAACGGCAAAACATGTTGCAACATCAAATACCATAAAACATAATGGGTTGACCCCAAAAATTTAACCGTTTGGTTTTTGGCTTGTTTAATAATAATTTGGTACTTATATAACGCTAGCTACCAACAATGTCATATCAGTAGCAATGTTTTATTGTGTGTTTTTTTTTTTTTKTGTGGTCGGTGTTGCTGGATACAACAGGAAGCCCAACAAAAGGGGAGGCTGCGAAGGAGACTAGCTGGATGCCGTACCGATGTCGAATGGAGTGTCGACTCAGTTTCGAAGGCGTTTGGACGCGTAATAACACCTTCAAAGTTACGCCAAACTTACCATCAAGAGCTTCTAGTAGCTCATCTTTATGCCATGCCAACTCTTCTAGTACATATGAGGTGTAGTACAAAGCATGCTGGTGAGGCTGCTCTGCTTTGAAATTACGTAAACCTAATTCATACTGTGAACACAGAATAAATAACACAGATAGTAAGTATACTGACAGTTTCTTGTGGATCTGCAGATCAAGAACTTAATCAATGAAATGAGCAGAAGATGAAAGAAAAGTATCTTCATCTGAAAATTCATCTGACGCATCACTCAGCTGCACGAGAACGAGAATAGTCTTCTTCACGGTTCCCTGCGCCATCTTGAAAGGTAGCCCTGCCTTTACATCGAAGCGAGACAACCGTTGAGCGTGCATTGCTAGAAACCTGTGAATAATTGTCTTTAGGTGTGAAAATAGGTTTCTATCATTGCACGCTCAGCGGTTGTCTTGCTTCGATGCAAAGGCAAGGCTACCATTCAAGATGGCGCAGGGAACCGTGAAGGAGACTATTGTGAGGAGCATTGTTGATTGGCAGAAGAATAGGAGTGTCAATGGCAGAAGTAATACAATGTGCTTACTCTTTCCTTTATAACAGCAAATCTCTTGGGATCAACAACAAATGCAGTCATTTTTTCTAGAATTTTCTGGAGCAGTATGGATTGCTTGTGATTATACCCTCTTATGGTCAACTAAATTGACAATGAAAACAACCAAATATCACCAGGTTTATATATTATACACACACAACGGATGTATATCAATTCATTATATTATACACAGTGTCCGTGCAGACTATCAAACGAAATTTAAGGACTTTTCAAGGAACTTTCCAGGACCAAAATTGTATTTTCAAGGAGCATCAAAATCATGCTAATTGTAGRTTCTTACCTCAAAACTTCAGCTGAACAGAATAATTCAGAGATCGCTAGCGCTTCGTTATAGAGATCCATCTTTTTCAAGGAGTTTTCAAGGACGAAATTTTCAAATTTTCAAGGAGTTTCAAGTGCCCTTGAAAACGAGTTTTCAATTCAAGCACTTTTCAAGGATTTAAGGACCTGCACGGACCCTGTATACAGTTACTAGTAATTTATGAATATGTTTCAATTCATTGATTCAGCATCTTCTCTCCGTATGACGTCACACGACGATAGGTGAAATGCATTATGGGATAG